CATTTCTTTTATAATCATTTATTAAGTAGTCATTGGTACATAAAACAGGTACATAATTTAATTCACGTCTGTACAAGTTTTTGGCGCTAAAATCCAGCCGAATACTTTTGCCTAATATTCGGCTATTCGGTCAGGGGCCTCGCCGAATATTCGGTATTCGGTATACTGCCGAATATACTATTCGTTGCAAGTCTAATTTATATACTTTTGTACTGTATTTATGTATTGTAATTGTAGTGTATACACATCTAGGATAACAATAAAAGTAACTAAATACTGTTCATCAATAGATATAATATATATATGTAATAACTATTTATCTGTCGTCTCGAGCGACGTGCTCTGCTAGCCGCGCGGTGGGAAAGGATTCGTAAATCGACCGGTGCGGAGTGCAGACAGGGTGCGTACGCGGCGAGCCGATATTCATATTATAATATCATTACATATAATACTTATAACAATACAAGTGTACATTACATTACAGTAATGTATGCACCCATGTGTAATATGTATAGGTGTTGTACAACTTCCCCCTTCCCCCCTTCCCGTTCTCCCTGGACGGGAAGGGGGGGAAGTTAAAGCCATAGCACCGTGCACGCCCACTCTCACAGATTGCAGGAAAACGTGAGACACAAAAAAACATTAGAGTTTTGAAACCTTAATACGGTGTCACTGACATAGGTACATAGTTGTCAAACTTATGGCAAACATAACAATCGAAGCCATTACTGCTCCATTAATCACCCTTCAATATAAAATCACGACGACGAGTTTAGATTTTACCTGTTACATATATCTTGCCTCTAATACAATAGTAATATTAACGTATAATAACTACATAGGGCATGTAGGAAGATACTAAATACATATGTGTACATACATGTTTTATATAAGTCACACCCTGAGATAGAACAAACGATCGTGCTCATCACACAATTATTTGTCCTGGGTAGGAATCGAACCCACGCCTTCTGGCTTAGCAGTCAGGTTCACCAACCACTGAACAACAGGCTCGTAATAATATCTAAACTATTTAATAAACGTGATCTTTCATACTTTTTTAATATTCGAGCTTACATGTGATATTGTGTTCAATAACGGAGATAAGACCCATATATGAATCTTACTTCTCAACTTTATATAAGTAGGTATTTACATTAGCAACAAAATCGTGTGTTATGTGATCTAACGATATTAATAGATGTCATGTCATCCGCGTACTTACGCGCATATTACAAGTCAATAACCAGGGCCTCAATTCTGCTAGTTTAATATTGTATCAATAGATTGTCGATGGAATGTCGTCGGAATAGTTTTGCACTTTTTCTATTCTACTATGTAAGACCAATGGCCTCCCGATGACTCGTCACTGATGCAAATGTCGTCGATGTCTTTGTAACAGTTTGGTAAACGGAATTTAAAATGATAAATCTAATTTTCCAGGTATGACAATGTTGTTTGTATCACCATTGATGACCTATATTACTCGTACTATATCAACAGTCTATCGACACTGTGAATTTATGTTATTGATATTTTGACTGATGTTAATGGCGTCTCGATAGCGTGTTAATAGAATCACAGTAGCTTGGCGTTGACATAAAATAGCAGAGTTGAGGCCCTGATTGATAACTTATTAAAATATTTATGTATAGACGTAGATGTGTCAATTGATCTGAGAACACATTTGCACCTTGCAAAGGTACAAATTAGAGTACCAAAAACTCTTAGTACATTTCACTTAATGTACTAAGTTAAGTAAATTGCTAGAGCTAAAGGGACATCCATAAGTCCATCCTTATTCATCATTTCAGCCTTAAACAGTCCACTGCTGGAAATAGGTCTCTCCTTGGATAGGAGGTTTTGGTCTACTATATCACGCTGGCCAGACGGGTTGATATAGCGTTTGTTTCAAGTTTTCCTTCTCTTTGCAGTGCTGTTGTCCTGTGTAGTTTGCTCCCTTAGTCGGCTCTTACGACACCCACGGGATGCATAGGGGTGGTGACATTCCGTATTCTTAATCCGTCACCACACGGACTCGTCACCACACGGACTGTTTGTATAGTGGTCAGTAACTCTGACTACGCCAGAGGTCGTGGGTTCGATTCCCACCCAGAACAAACATTGTGTGATGAGCACGGTCATTTGTTCTGTGCCTGGGTGTCATTTATCTGTAATATGTTTGTATTGAGAAATATATAAGTATGTTTATCAGCAGTCTAGTTACCATATTAGTTACCAGATGCGGCGGACTTAATGCCATAGGCATTCTCTACCAGTCAACCATAGGGTGATGTAGAGAAGACAGGAAGTAGGATGTTTATTTTTTTTTAAAGACTACTCCCGCATTAGGAATATATCCTGTGGGGGACTTTACAAACATACATGAAAGGGACACAAAGCACACCACACAAACACACACAAAGTGGATCACACAAATTGTCGTCCCATGTGGGGATCGGACCCACAACACACAGCGCAGTAAGAAGCGGTGAGGTGACCGCTTAAACCACCACGCCATCCGTGCAGTCTAAGTGCATTTGCAGTTGATTTTATACAGACAAAAAAGCAATTTAAACTGAATACATAATCACATATTTACACATATTCAAACCTATTATGTACAACACCTACACATACTCGTATTACACATGGGTGAATACATTACAATACATAAGTACAGTACAAAAATTTATAAATACATACATCGTATGTATGTATTTATATACTTTTGTATATAGATACTAATAACAATATGATATTGAGTTGATTCTTCCAGTTGTGGCCAGGTACTGCTTTACTTTTATTTTAGAAGAAAGAGTGTTGGTTGCTATCCTGACTCCAAGCGCACTCCAAAGATCCTATCTTCTTACCTACCTCCTTCTTCTTCAATTGAGTAAGGCCCGCCACCAATCCAGTCTCTTCAACATAAATCTACTATTATGATTTCTCATCTTATTACGAAAAGGTAACATGTGATTGGTAAACAGTCATTGAACCCTGGTATTTTTACTTTAGCTCTTATCGCTTAACGTCCGCCACTATCAACCAATAAAATATTTAGTGTCTACATTACTAACTAGCTAGCTAATAGTTACATATTTAATATAGGGGCAATAGGGTTGACGACCTCTGGACAGATTCTTGGGTTATATAATATCCGCGTGTATGTCATTTATCGCGGCAAAAACTAGCCTATTTCCTTTCTTAAGAATCAAACTATTTATACAATAGTATACCAATTTACATCTGAATCGGTTCAGCGGTTATTGATTACCCATACTAACTTACACCACCCCCCCTTTAAGGATGATTTCTAGAATAAAAACAATCCTATGTCCTTTTCCGGGACTCAAACTATCTCTGTACTAAATTTTATCTAAATCGGTTTAGCCTTTTAAGCGTAAAGAGACAGAGAGACACACTTTGGCATTTACGAGTATAATGTTAGTATATTAGTATGGATGTATTCAATATTTTTTCATGGTATAGTTTGGCAAACGAGCAGACGGGTCACCTGATGGTAAGTGACTACCGCCGCCCATGGACACCTGCAACTCAAAAGACACAACGCGTTCCCGCTCCTTCAGCCCGTCCCTTTAGAATCCAGCAGTCTGGTTACCATAGTAGAGACTCTGACTAGTTTGGGATCAGACAGCCGTGTGAGCGATGTGTGAAGTTATTATTATTATAAATGTTTATGTGTAAAAAATATTACACACATCTATCGTTTATAAATAATGTGTGCTGTATAGTTAGAAATCCTTGACTATTCCTTGACCATTTACAGGAACCCCAATAAGCCTACCTTTGAGTTCTGAAATTAGGTTATGTCTCGTGTGACTTCAAATTCGACTACATGTAAATGGTTTCCGTATGACTTCTATGATAACTAAATATATCGGTTTCTCATCTCGATGTTAACCAAAAAAATGTACAGAAAAACTCCGAAACATATTCCATTTTTTTCAAGTACGTAATGAGTAGGAGGTTGGAGTGCAGTGACCGATCTCAGTGTTGCTATGTACTACAGGTTCAATAACCTTTAATTATAAGATTAGTATTAACTGCGAATGCTACGTCAGGGTAAGGAATTAGGTAAATGTACCTACCTAACACTACCTTTCATTTTGAGAAGAGATTCGACTGTATTTGTCATTTTAAAATATTTGATAATTTTTTTCAAGAGGTACAAATGTTTTAAACATACCTATAGCCCATGTTACCTTAAACCTATAGCCCTTTTAGGCGCTCGGTGCAAGTTTCTGGAATTGCGGCACATCGAAGCATATTTTAGAAAATGGTAAGACATACACCGGTATACATAAGATAGATACCGCTGGCACCCTTCTAGTTACTGCACTGCCTATAATTAGAACTATCTGCTCTTGCAATCTCACAGAACTATTGACAACAGGTAAACTGTCACTCTATTGTTAAAAAGTCTCGCTTCATGATGTCATGTACCTAACACTGTCCCTCAAGAAACAGGATTGTCCTAGTTTGAAGGACAGCAATTTTACTATTTGTGGATAAGCCTATATAAGGTATAGGCTTATCTAGAAATGTGTATAAATATGCTGCAAAATATGCTGTTATCACCTATTAGTGGACTCTAGGCTAAGTTTCTATATAAATGAAGGTTTCTTTTCTATTTTATATAATTAAAAATTAGAACCCTTTGAAGGACTTAAACAGTTAGATATCAAGTTGAAATGGAATCAACACCAACACTTGTAGTGTTAACGACGAACTTAAAATACTAATATACAAGTTCTAAAATCATAAATCAATAAAATCGAATAAAATATCTACAAAGGATGCTTTGTAGTTTTTTTTTATCGAAACATTCATTGTCAATGTTTGTTGTCCCGCAATGTCAAATAATGACAACCTTAAAATTAATATTAAGATTCTAAAAACTTCAAAAAATAGTAGTAAACAAAATTTAAGGTATAAGTATCAATATTATGATTAAATAAAAATATTAAATAAAGAAAATGATACACAGGGCTATCATGTTACTGTTATGTGCCCTAAATCTAAATCAGAATCAGAGATGTAGGTTAAACACACGCTTACACTTCGGCGAACCTTTACCGGTTATTCTAAGAGATAACAAACTTCTGGAGCCTACAGACGCCTTTGGTAACATTGATCTGAAGCATGGTGATGTGTTGACTTTGAGTTGTGAAGAAGGAGGATCTCTTACTCATCCATTGGCTTTGAGATCTGAAAGCACAGCCACCGTTACCTGTGAAGGAGGAGACAGTTTCAAAAACGAGCAATGGTTAAACTCCCCAGGTACTTTTCGCGAGTTTAAATGCTTATATCCTCCAAACTATAAGAGCGTACGGACAAACCGAAGCTGCTATGATAATCATCAGATCTTTGAAGTTGGGTACAGAATCCAAAATAGATTTTACCCAGTTTACGAGTCCTGCTTTGATCAAGTTAATCTTAACCCTATTTATTCCAAGTACACCCAGAAACCATATAACGCATTTTATCAGACCAGAGTTGACCGACCGTTCTTCATAGCGGACGATGTCTATGGGTCTTATGTACCAGTGAACACGCTGTTCTCTCCAGCAGGTCAAAAATCTGCAGTGACTCAGCTTATAGGAGCTGTAGCCGAGAATTACCTTACGAAGACGCAATTTCTTTCAAGAGGACATTTGGCGGCTAAGACAGACTTCGCATTTGCATTCACTGAGCGAGCCACGTTCCATTACGTAAACTGTGCTCCTCAGTGGACAGGGTTTAATGGTGGAAATTGGAATCAGTTGGAAATAGACCTTAGGAATCATATTCACGCCGTTGGCTGCAATGCTATTATTTACACTGGCACATTCGGTGTCACCAAACTTGCAAGTGATTACGGCCGAAGAGTAGACATGTATCTTTATAGTGATGAGAACAACAATCCAGTTATACCTATACCAGAATATTTTTATAAAGTTGTGTACGAACCTTCAAGCAAGTGCGGAATTGCATTCGTCGGTATTAATAATCCTTATTATACACCTTTAGAAGCACGTGAAATGTTCTTCTGCGAAGACTTGTGTAGAAATAATAGGAATTTCAGTTGGCTAACGTGGCATCCTGATAATCCAGCAGAAGGATACACATTTTGCTGCACAGTCCCAAATTTCCGAGCAACTGTACCGCATTTGCCAGAATTTAAAGTGAACTGTCTTTTTACTTGATACTACTTGTGCTTTAGTGATTGCTGTAAGTTTAGTACACATTTTTATTCATGTATGAAGTTTTTTATTCCCTTTCAGAGCGTGACCTATGTTTAACTTAATACCAGAACGAGGTAATTGGACTGAAGAGGTAAATAAAATGTTCAAGAAGTTCGATTTGTGCTGCAAAGGCCGGTCGCTTTTGTCTGTCTGTCTTGTCTTAGTCTAAATAAAACATTATTTTGAAATGTTGTCCAGACAATTGTAGAATATTATACTAGGTATAGTATAATAGCACTGGTCGTGTGGACAAAAGAATCATATTATTATAATGATCCGTTATCAGCCAAAAATACTATTTGGGCGCACCTCGTAGAAAAACAGAAATATAATACTAGAATCAAAATCTGCTAGCAATGTAACCAAGTTCAATAATCGCATCTGTAGGTATAAATTCAAGATGTTACGATGTTCTGGCAGTTTCATGTTATCATTGACGACTGACCTTTGGGTCTCTACCTACTTCGGTGTAGGCAGTAAGAGAGAGTCGTTATGCCTACAGAAACTTAGGTAAATGTGTACATTGTGATTGGAAAACGGAAATGGAGAGCCATATACCTAATTATATTACGCGAATAAAGACGCTAATTATGTATCACGACAATAATAATTTCCCTCTAAAAATAATATGCCTACCCCAAGGCTCTCCACAACAATCGGTCCAATGCTGCCCGCTTCCAACGGCTTCCAGCGCACATCGGCCATCTTTTCTGCGAGCATCGTCAATAACATTTCAATTATATTTTACTTAACTCCTACGACTTTGTTGTTGTACTATTTTGACATACATTTTTTCATACTATCAAATGCAAAATCATTTCAAAAAGATATAAATTATAAGCTATAAAGACATAGCTACAAACATATGTTTGTAGATTTCAATAATCTAATCTTTGATAGACCAATATAAATCACAAGGTAAGTGACATAATAGCAAGTTACAGAACAAAACGAGAGATGTATTTATAAATCATAGCCATTATCATCGAGGGACCAAAGGAGTGCGAAGTAGAGATGAATTTGAATTTACGGCGGTATGAAAAAAGTCACTTTCTAATCAACAACTTACAGTACTAAGTTTTATGTGACAAGGCTTATCTAAGTGACACTTGACTAAAACTGGTGGCAGATACATGCTGCCATGACGGTAGTATTATTTTTTGTACTTTTTCATTTGTTTGGAAACCACTTTTGAGTAAAAAAGAGAGTAGAATTCTCTCCTCGTTATACGGGATAACAAAGACATGTTATAAAATTATCAGGTCAGATAGTAACTAACCCCCACCCGCCCTGAATGTAATTATAGACAAGAATAGGTAGAGCATGATCGATGCCAGTCAGGACTTGAGTCGTGCAAATGTTCTCTAAATGTAAATAAATGGTGAATTGTATTAAATGAAATATGGAATTTTCGGACATTATGCGTCTCATACTGGTAAGTCTGCAGTTAATACAAATGGCAAGTTATCATTCATTTTTATCATTGTCAAAGCACAAGTCTGGTTACCATAGCACTTACTATAATTTGAGTTAGGATGGCCGTATGTGAGGTGTCAATTTATTACAATTATTAAACATATTAAAGGAATGAAAGTAGTCTTGATAAACAAGGAACCTTTTAGCAAGTCGCTACGAATTCAATTGTTGCAATTTATTAAAACTGAATGACTAAGTATACTTACATATTTATATATATGTATGATATCTGTAAAATTTTTGCTATTTTAGATATAAATGGGCGATAAAATTCTTCTGGCAGGAAGTCTGCAAGACTAAATTTGTTTGAGATCTGTTTGTATTTAATATAAATTAATATTAAAGTAATACATTTTAGTGCAGCAGTACCAGTATAACTTTTTGATCCACTGCTTTTTGATACCTACATTCAAATTTTCTATCGCAGAACGACCTCCGTCCTCTATAAGCGCAGGCCTGGGTGTGACAGGTGGGGCCATCTGTCACTCTAGCAGAAGCAGGCCGGGGTGGCGGAGAGCGCGTTGCGAAGCGCGCTCGCTTCCAGGGAGCAGAGGGAACATGGTGTTCCCACACGGGGGGGGGGTCGTCTACCTGTTGTTGTAGATGGCCCGAGGTATGTCGGGGCACCAGGGACTTCCTCTCTAGGGTATACCTGGTTCCCCGGCTATTAGTACCCGAGACGGCGTGCGGTTTTAGTCGGTTCGAGTCCGACATGCCACCGATAGGTGGTATCCGAGGGGCTTTCCGCACGGAAAAAAAAGGGGTACTTTACAAAAGGATTTACATAAACGGATACGTAGAATACCCAGACTCAGAACGACAATTTTTTGATTACACAAAATGTCGTCCCATGTGGGAATCGAACCCACAACACTCAGCGTAGCAGGACTGCTTAAACTACTACGCCACCCGTGCAGTCGAATCCAATCGTATAAGCAATATTTCCGTTCTTACCATAACTTTCCCTTTTATCTGCCTTTCCTTTTAATATGCTCCAAATTTTCCCAACTAATCTCTGAAGTATCCAGTGGGTAGCAAAACCCTTCTATTACATAAGTAAGCCTAAAATTATAGTTGAAAAGTTGTGAGTGTTTCAAACGCAAAGAACAATGGCAGAAACATATTTACCTAAAACTTAAGCGTTTAAAAAATCGAGTCACACTAAACTTAATTAATATTTTTTCTATGATTTATCATTACACAACCATGTGTTGTATAAGTCTTATAAGAGATATGATATTTTTGAAGATTTTATTTGACCTAAGTACGTAATGGTCAGATTCCGCCATCACGTATAACTGACTAGGGATGCGTGGTGGCAATATTATATTATTCTTATAGCTTTTGGTTGAAATATTTACCGAAGGTTCACTAATTATGATTATGAATTTGCTTCTGCCCACGGCTTCACTCGTACGGTAGAGTGACTGAATCAACATAATTAGAAATAATACTCTCTTTAAACGATTTTAAACACACTAAAGAAATAGAATATAGTTTACGTTATTTTCCGACGTAAAAAAATATACACTACATAGTGTGATAAGAAAAATACATTGTCATTGATAAACGGCACATAAATAGACATACTCGTCATACATTGATATTTTCAAAATGTCGATACGTCGTCGTTTAGATCCTGTCAAGTGCCTGACTCACCACGTTTGTTATTTTATTTTTGTTCAATTTAGTGTTAAACTCGAATAGATGTTATGCTTTTATTTTTTTTATTTAATATACTGTAATAATAATGAAAATAATATTTTCGGCTATCTGACACACAACGCCATCTAGTTTCAAACAAAACATTAACAATATGTTAGTACTTAACCTCGAAACATTCAAAATCCAATATCTTTTTTTCCTAGACTTCTTTCGCAAGTAATTTTGGTATGAGAATGGTCAAGAATAAATTCTCAAGTGTTAAGGATTTTTTGATATTTAAACGCTAACATTTCAGTTCAAATAAAATTATGTATGGGGACCTGCCATTGTCCTTTCTAACTTGAGAAAACAATAGTGTATATTATTATGTGATATGGGTGTGAGTTTTGTATAATGGGAGTTTTGGTTGTGAGTAGGAAAAGGCGTGTGAGAGTACGTCGTGTACCATGACGAGATTTGAGAGTGTCGATGAGTGATTAAGCGATGTAAAATATTGTAACTTGGAGATGAAAAGTATGTGTAGTATAAGCAACTTGATACATTTTACAGACGGTCTTTTAAACCTAAATTAGGTAGAGCCTGTACTATCGTAATCCGACTCCACATTATAGTAAGGCAGAAACGTTTTAACAATTCCCCAAAAATACTAAATATTCATGAGAAATGAAATGGGCATCCGGTGAGTATTTTAGTATTCAGCCAGATACCGGATGTCATTTATGTAGATACTTTATTTTAGTCAATAACTAGTAATTTTCTTGTACTTCCACTGTAATTTTTTTTTTTTACCAAGGTGACTTAAACTTTAACTTTTACTAAGGTGAATGATATGAATTAAATAAATATTAGAGGCTTGGATTTCCAGACAACAGTCAGGTCTTTTAAATGTATACTACCCTGACATACTCAAGGTATTGTTCACAATCCCAACCCATTATTAATAGCAATATGTTTTATTACCATTGCCTTCCATCGTACCAACTTTCCCTTCATATTAAACTACAAATTTGCCTGTCTAATTCCTAAAGGCAATAACCTTGCCGCTATTACTTGAATGGGATAAAAATTATAGTTGGATATGAAATAAATACGCCTCTGTTCAACCTTTAAATATATGAAATATATGTTGACTTATGTATACATTTGAAAAAAGTTACAATTTAGCCTATATGTATGTTTTTACAGGTATCAATATTTGTAGTCCCGCTCTGTAACAATCAGAAACTGAACATCTTTAATTCAAGAATCAAATCAGATTCTAAAGAAACACCTGCAAACACTATACAACAAAAAAGTCAGAATCTCTTTGTATTTCCCAGGAAAATAAGGAAGTTGGTAACTGTAATAACAAACGTGGATGTGGTTACAGAACCAATGTTTCGTGTAAGTAACAAACAAATAACTGATCAAAAAAACAGACATGAACATACATTTCAATAAAAATTGACAATTATTGATGATAAGTCTAAGATCAAATAATAAAATCAAATAGATGTTAAAACAACTGTGGTTGGACAATGCTTTAAACTAGATAAAATTCGAATAACTCGAACTTTCTTCTGACAATGAATGATAGAATACAAAAAAATATACATTTAATTCTATTAATATCAATACAGAACGTATAAAGCAGAAAGAATTAGTTAAGGTGAATGCTGTTAAAACAAATAAAAAGTTATTCCAGTATAACGGAGACACCTACTTAAATCTGATACAATCAATTCTGAATTACAGAGTCATCAAATGATGTCTGAAGAATCAAAACTTCTTACTACAACGGAATATACTTTGAAGTGTCAAGTTAAAGTAAAAAGGTAATT